AAACGGGTCAAAAACGTGCATGTGGAAACGCATCTGAAAATTTTCTCTTTTTAGTTAGTCCCCTCTGGAAAGGTAGGTATCTGACTTGATGCCAAATTCCCATGAGAGATCAGGTGACCACCTTGACGGGGAAGTCTTTAAATAGAGGATGCCACCACCTGTTTTAACCCCACTCTAGTGCACCGCAACCACGTTCAGAGCACTGCAACAGTGTTCACTTGAATGGGTCTCTTTCGATGGGGGTATAAATTATGCCATGGCTGCAAATCATAGGATTGCAGCTGTGGCATTTAATTTCATTTTTTTGGGGTGGGTAGGTAGGTTGTACGCGGTTCTGTGATTTCTAACAGCAGCCTTGCCTCTGACTGCTTTTATTAGACCATTTATATCTTTTCTCAAGTATCTTTTGGTACACCATTTCACCATGTGGGGGTAGTACGACAAGACACACCATGGTAGCGTGACGGGGGGCACAAATACATCAGTACTTGGTTGGTTTTGAAAGAGGAAGTCCATTTTTATGGCCATACTTGCAGCTCTCACCTACAATTAAAGGGCGATTGATTCATTGATTCATCCGCGTTCCGGCCAGTGACAGCGATATCCCGCTGGGGGTGGCTAAACAGGGAGTGATTCCATAGAAACACACAAGCCGCCCAGTGATTAGGGATTTCGCCACTGGTGATTTGTCGCTAGCGGCAGAATCGCTCACGTGCAATCAGTCTGATAGAGAATGGTACGTCCTATTGGTGTTAGTAGAGAGTCCTTGGCACAGATTCAGCTCAGGAGCTTGTATTGCTTGCCACGCTGATCCCTTCCTCAGCTACAAAGGGAGCAGTTCCAGAGGGACAAAATAGACCGCATCTCAGTGATCCTGTCGCTGTTGTTTTTGACAAATTGCCAGCAGCAGGATCACTAGTGACAGAGTCATGTGACATCAGCCTTAAATCCAAATGTTTATTACATTGCACCTTACCAGTTCTTATTTGTGGTGGCTGCTTTAGTTTTCTTTTTAGGCTTTCTTTCCTTTATTGTCACCTGGTGATCCTGAGCAGTAAGTCTGTTGGTTTTCAAAAGAACAATCTATCCTACAGATAGAGCAGTTAGAGGGTTAGGACAAACCATTTACAATGGACAGGGGTGCTTACAATGGTCAGCTTTTATAAATTTGTGTAAAATTTTTATCCCTAAAGGAAAAAAAACTGAGCTGTAACTGCTTTTACAGTGTTAGCTGGAGTTTGGCTGCAATTCGTCTAGTGCAGGGGTCTCCAAATATTCTAAGGAAAGGGCCAGTTTACTGCCCTTTAGACTTTGGGGGGGGGCGGACTGTGCCCAGTGGGAGCAAACCATGCCTGGTCTTTGGTATTAGGGGGAGAAATAGTTGGTGTGAATGGGAGGACTAGAGCCCCATTTCTGTTGTCAGTGAAAGTTATTATGCCTCATTGTTGGTGTCAGTGGCATGAATTATGCCCTATTGTTGGTGTCAGTGGCAGGAATAATTTCTCAAGGACCGGATAAAGGCAAGCAAAGGGCCGTAGTTTAGAGACCACTGGTCTAGTGTATCAAAATCTGCTAGTCCATTCAATACACCCTTCTCCCCAAATTAATAATGCTGCTGTCCTGAGGTGCCCCTGTGCTCCTTCATCCAGAGTGAAGCATTTTAATACAGGTGTTTCTGGCCAGATCACTATATAAAAACAAAGGGAAGAAACCCTAAAAAGAAAACTAATGGAGCCACCACATATAAGGATTAGTAAACTGCAATATATTACATTTTTTGGGTTTAATAAAACTTTAAATGGGACCTACAGGGGTTAGACAGAAAAATGGAAACACTACATGATTTGCAGGATTGAAAGCGATGACATGTTTCATGTTAAAAAACAGAAGCGATGCAACATACTTTTGCTTCCGCTGTGTGATGAGACACCTAGCTAAGTCATGTCAGAGCTTACTGAGCTTCAATGAGGGTAAATTGTTGTCTGCATGGGACTGAGATTGAGCTCTGCAGTCACTTTTTGCAGAAGTTGTTTTTCTTATTCTGGGTCACAGTCCTGCGCAATGTCCTTTTGTCTCTTTCTGTGAGTTGACCATGTCGACCGCGCTTCTGCTTATCAGAAGTTGTTATGACCTTTGATACTTGTGACACGGCAAATAAATAGGCAACTTCAGTCACTGAGGCACAGCTAAGCGACACCAACAATTTGCCCTTCTTAAGCCCAGGTTCACACTGATGCGGTGTTGAATGTGCAGCGTTTTCTGTTGCGAATTCCGCACCACATCATAATCGCACCCTGTTCATGCGAACCGCTGCGGGTGTATATGTTAAGTTAACAACACTCCGAAAGCGGTCTGCAAAACGCGGTGCGATGTGCAGAATCGGATCGCATTGGTGTGAATACCCATGCGATCTGATTCTAGTGCAGACCAAAAAAAAGGGTCCTGCACGCTTTTGGTGTGGGTGCGGTGCGACTAGAGTCATACAAAATGTATGGCTCTCCAATCGCACCGCAACAAATCGCATGTGATTTGCACACGAATGTGGTGGGGTTCCTGTGTGAATCACATGCGATATACCGCACCGCATATATGTGAACCCAGGCTGAAGCTCAGTAAGCTCTGACATGACTCCGTATTAGTAGCAGCACACACATTGAATTACAAAAGAGACGCTTCCCACCTGTTAGCTAGGTGTCTCATCACACAGCGTAAGCAAAAGAATGTTTCATCACTTCCACTTTCAGTGCAAACTATGTTGGCACTTTCATATGTAGTGTTTCCATTTCTTTTGTCTAACCCCTGTAGTTCCAACCAATTCAACTACATCAGATTATACACACAAGTTGGATTAGTCTCTGCCCAATAGTTTACTTCCACAGTCACCTACACACTAAGAACAATTTGGGTGGATGCCAATTAAATTAAAAGTATGTTTTGGGAATGTGGTATAAATCCAGAGTATAAAAGGAACCATTTCAAACATATGGTGAATGTACATACTCCATGCAAATAGTGTCCTTGGGAGTTATGCAGCCCATCCTGGAGCCTGCGAGTCATTGTGCTGGCCTATGGTGAAATGGTAAATATGCACCTCATAGCAGTAATAAACCCAAAAGCAAACATTTATTATATTGCAGCTTACCAATTCTTAGATGTGGTGGCTGCATTCATTTTCTTTTTAGGCTTTTTGTTCTTCTTTTTTCATCTGGTGATCCAGCCAGGAAGTCTGTTGTTTATTTTAAAAGCTCAAGCTCTCCAGTAGAATGCATCAGTTTACATGGATAAGACAAACCACTAAACCCTGGAAGGGATGGCTAAGCTTGTATTTATTCAAGTAAAACCTTTATCCCAAAAGGAAAAAAAAACTGTTTGCTGTAACTGATTATAAAGTGTGAGTTTGGCTGTAATTAGTGTATTCAAATCTGCTAATACATTTAAGACTCCCCAAGACTGACAATGCTGCTGTTTGATGTGCCTCCTGTACTCATTCCTTCAGAGTTGTGTCTCATTAATACAAGAGGTGTTTTACTGGCCAGATCACCAGATTAAAACAGAGGGGGAAAAGCCAAAGAAAAGAAAACTAATGCAGCCACCACATCTAATGATTGGTAAGCTGGAATATATTACACTTTTGGTTTTGGGGTTAATACCGCTTTAACCGCTTCCCAATTGCCCTATAGTACTGCTACAGGGTGGCAGGGTTGTGCGAAATCACGTGTATATATACGTGATTTTGCTTTTTCTGGGTAGGGGGGCACGCATGCTTCCTACCTGCGCCACTATTGGCTGCTCGGCATGTCAATCGTCGCTTCTCAGCCAGGATTCATCGGCAGAGCTGACAGGGAAGAGGTAAACAACACAGATCTCTCCCCTGTCAGCTCGAACAAGATGCTTTCTTTTGCTCTGCACAGCAGAGCAATACAAAGCAGCTTGTCTACACAGTAATACAAACACAACACACTGTGTAAAACACAACACAGCTCATTGTTAACCCTTTGATCACCCCAGATGTTAACCCCTTCCTTCCCAGTGTCATTCGTACAGTGTCAGTGCTTTTTATTAGCACTGATCACTGTATTAGTGTCACTGGGGATGTCAGTGGCAGTTAGTCAGTTCCCACCCCAGTGTCAGAATGCCCACTGCAGTCCCACTATAAGTTGCTGATCGTCGCCATTACTAGTATATAAAAAAAATATTCCAGTATATATACCGCCATTTGTAGACGCTATAACTTTCACGTAAGCCAATTAATTTACACACATTGGGATTTTTTTTTTAGCAAAGACATGTAGAAGAATACATTTTGGCCTAAATTTAGGACGAAATTTCATTTAAAACATTTTTTTACTGGATATGTTTAATAGCAAAAAGTCAAAATCATTTTTTTTTTCAAAATTGTCAGGTTTTTTTGTTTATTGTGCAAAAAATAAAAAAACGCACAGGCGATCAAATACCACCAAAAGAAAGCTCTATTTGTGGGAAAAAGGGCGTACATTTAATTTATTATTTACAGTGTTGCATGACCACGCAATTGTCAGTTAAAGTAACGCAGTATTGCAAAAAATGTCCTAGTCAAGAAGGGGGGTAAATCCTCTGGAGGGCAAGTGGTTAACTTTGTTATTAATGGTGATTTGCACAGTGATTAGTAATCTTGCCTTACACCCTGGTCACATCGGGTGCGACTTGGCATGCGATTTGCATGCCATTCGACTTGCATATCATATGCTAAGTCGCACCCTATTGGCCGCAATTAGAGCAGTCATATTGGAGTGGTTCCAACTTGGTCGGAGCCGCACCGATTTCTAAAGTAGTACATGCACTACTTTTGGTGCGATTTGCATAGACATCTGTATCAGGTGTCTTGCAAATCGCACGTGAAATCGGCATCTCACCTGTGAAATCGTGCGACTTCACTGGAAGTCGCACAATTTCAAAATGGGGCTTGATGTGATTGGGGGGGGGGGGGGTTATAGTACTGTGCAGGGGCGGACTGACAACTCATGGGGCCCCCCGGGCAATAGGGGATCATGGGGCCCCTGTGTCCTTGCCCAAACTCAAAAAAGCCTATGAAAAAGGTACCAGGGGCATCTCATGGGGCCCCCTACTGACCTCGGGCCCTCGGGCAGTGCCCGAGTTTCCAAATGATCAGTCCGCCCGTTCTGGAGTTCAGCTTTCGGTTGGCCATACACAGAAAGATTTATTTCCTTCAAGTTGAACGTAGGAAAGCCAGTAGATTCCTCTATCCATGTCGAACAGAGTTTTAGGGCTCGTTCACACTTGACTGTTTTTCCAACTCTTGACAAACGCCCCTATAGCGTTTGACAAGCGTTGGTCCAGCGTTTGCGGAGCATTTTTAACGCTCTGCAAACGCTGCATGCATCATCATGGATCATGGGGCCCCTGTATCTTTGCCCAAACTCAAAAAAGCCTATGAAAAAGGTACCAGGGGCATCTCATGGGGCCCCTACTGACCCCGGGCCCTCGGGCAGTGCACGAGTTTGCAAATGGTCAATCCGCCCCTGGTACTGTGATCCTGAGTTCATTCCCATGTAATCTCCTTGTTAATGTGGGTCACCTTGTGTGGTCTGCATTTCTGGTTACAATGTAAAACATTACAAATGTAGCTGAAATACATGTAACAAGAACAAACTCTACTACAGCTATCACGTGTTACCATGATTTGCAGCTCAGACAACCTTGCTCTGAAAATGTTATCTTAAGTGAAATGACAAGGACAAGCCTCACCATGATTCAGCAGAATTGCACGGCTTCTTGTGTTTGTCACTAGAAATGAGTAATAGGTGAGAAATAATTGAATTAGTCGTGCTTTTAGACAGATCTCGGGGAACTTGCTCTTTTTCTACTATATTTTAAAACTATCCAGAGGCTTTTTGTTGCTAAGCAGTTCTGGTAATGCATGCGAAGAACAGCGCAGATCTCATGAACCCTTGTGCTTGTGTCATTTTGACAACCAAGCGAACTTGACTATAATGTAATTCTTTTGTGCATTTAATGAAACATCAGCTTGCAGTGTCCAAAGAATAGGCAATGTAGACAGAACACCTCTAAAAGCCAATTCCCCTCAAAAAATGAATGCTTCACATTTGGGTGGTTGCTGGATAGCTGAGTCACAGGCTCATTTCTTTCATCTCCCGGTACTCCGCGATGTGCATCAGAATTCTCAGATGTTCTCAGCTACCACTATCATCACAAAGCCAAGTGTTGAGTCACTCTCATACAAAGGATTCTTCATCATGTAGATGGAAAGTCTAGAGACTCAAACTGCTGAGTGGAAATTGCACCGCACAAGGAAAGTGTATTGGTTTTGTACATATCTTCTTTATTTGTTACTATCAAGACTAAAAAAATTAAAAATATTTATTTTAGTTAAATAGGACATCTTTTTTTGATATTCTCCTTTTGAATCAGCAGGTGGTACTTTAGGCTTATTTGCACGTAATTTGGTTTCTTTTTACCTACTGCTGTTAAAATCTGTTTACAGAGTGCAGTAGCTTAAGCTATATACAAACCCCACTAAGTGTATTAGGGCAGAGACTCATCTGTCTATCTCTTGCTGCCTCCAGAATCGAGGATGTTGAATTTGTATCGCCCAACGTCCGGGACATGTAGTTCCAGGAGCTGGGCAGGTAGTTTTTTTTCAACCTTTAGTCCTCATGTACACTTGACGTTTTTACAGCTGTTGTTTTTTGCTTTTGATGGTTTTTTTCTAGAGCTAGCAAATCCCCCAGCATGTTATCCTGTGTGTCCATGCACACATAGACTGTAATCAACGTTTTTTTGGCTAGAAAAAAAACCCAGGACTGGTGGGTTTCTAGAGGAGTTTTTTAGTTATAGAAATGCTCTACGCTGAAAAACGTGGTACAACGCAGCAAACTGGCATTTTTGGACTTTTTTTTTTGTAAAAAAAAATGCTAAAAAATACCAACGTCAAAACGGCGCTAAACGCTAATCCAAAAATGCTAAAAAAAAGCTGAAAAAAAAAAAACTCACGTTTTTAACGTGACTTTACACAGCTAACGTTACCAGCGTTATCAAAATGCCCGGTGTGCATGGAACCTTAGCACTGCTGCAGGCAAGCAGCAGGGCTCACCTGTCAACTGCGCTGCCACCCCATTGCTTTCACACAGCCCACTGCAGTGTCAGCCTCTGCCCACTACCGTGCGAACCTCCCCACTCCCACTATGTCTCCCGGGCTCCGTTTGCCTATCTGCGGGCCCGGGATTGGTTTAGCATGCACCAGTGGCTAGAGGGGAGGGAGAAGAGTGGACGCATCAGCTCCCCTCCCCTTCTTCTCCTGACCCGGAAGAGACATTATGACGTCACTTCTGATGTACACTGCATTACATTCAGGGGAGACATGAAGGGCCTTTTAGACCCTGGATGTCTCAATAAAGAGAACCTGTCACCAAAATCATCACATAGGGGACTTTTTGTCCCCTACATGATTAAAAAAAGAGTAATTAAAAAAAAATGTTTTTAATTGTAAAAAATTAAAGTTACACCCAAGCACAATAAAAAAATGTGAGGCCCCCCACATATATGTACGTACAAACGTAAAAGCATGCACTGGGATGCCTATGCATGAAAGCGTTGATTACAATACACATGTTACATATCACCGCACACGCCAGAGTGAGAGCAATAATTGTAGCACAAGACCTCCTCTGTAACACTATACTGATGACCTATAAGGGCTTTAAAAAGGTCGGCTATACAAAATATAGGTACTGAAGTTTGTTGCAATTTCACAAGAGCATGCAAAGGATTGACATGTTTGGATATATATTTACTCGGTGCAAATTCAGTTTTATATTTGACAACAAATACGGTAATTTATTGCATTTTTGTGCACTAAAGAATAACTTAGCTGTACTTCTTACTGAAATTTTGCATTTCCTAGATCTTTGCGGTAATATTGTGTGACATAAAAAGATTGGAACTACCACTCTTTTATTCTCTAGGGTCTCTGGTTCAGAAAATATATAATGTTTGGGGATTTTGTGTAATCTTCAGGCCTAAAATTATTTTTTAAATGTGCAACAAACGCAAAAATGGTTCTGGCAGCGAAAAGGATAAGGGATAAGCCCGACCCTCCCCTTTCCTAAGGAGCACCCAATTGGTGCTCATAACACTGCAAGGTCTCTCCCTCTCTGCTAGGCCCCGGGTGCAGTGCTGGAGACAGGCAGGGAGGGGAGGAGGAGATATACAGCGCAATATTAAAAAAATTAAATGAAAAGTAGATTGTCATGAGGGACAAATAGATTGGGACACAGATTTAGTTCCTGGACAAGTAGTTCTTTCAAAAATTTCCACACCCCTGAGAATGCTTCCATTTGAGATTTTGTTGAGAGACTCTTTTAGCTACCCATGGTGCTCTCAGAATCATTTGTCTTATATTTATTTTAACTATTTTTGTATTTGTAAAACAAGGATTGTTTATATCATAAACAAAGAGAGTCGCACTCTCTTTGTGGAATGCTTAAGGAATGTGAATGGGCTCCTGGGATTGGTATCTAGCATATGCAGGAAAGGGAATAGGAGGGTTATGCTGAGCGGTGACTTCTCCATAAAAGGACTGATTATATATTTATATAGAGAGTAAACCTATTTTAAAACATGAGTTTAAAAAATAAAAAATCCTGATTATGAACTGCTTTAGGCCTCATTCACACGAATGGCTGTTTTATGACAGCTCTGAAAAGCAATCTGGACAACAGGCGGCTCAGAGGGGATAGTCTGCCTCCTGAATGCATGTTTTTGTGCAGGAAATCCTGCAGTACTGCACTGCAGCTGCATGTATTAGGTTGTGGTGCAATCCCTTTCATTTGAGTGGGATGCATTTGGCTAGGGTACCACCAGCAAAAAGCGATATGCTGTGTAAAAGTTGCCACAACATGAATGTGACGAGTGTGTACAGATATGTCCATAAGCAATGCTAACATTTCAGTGCCAGTGATAGGGGTAGTAAAAAGGCAGATCAGCTGCCTATTTTACCACCCATACTCTGACCTTGTGAACAAGGCCTTACCTGCAAAAAAGATTTGTAAATTTGTTCAGACTAACATAAAATTCAGAAAACTCTGTCAAACACCAATCAGGCCATTTTCAATATAATTTAACAATACAGCTTTGACCGCTCTGTGACAGTGCAGTGATGCCTATTGCTTCCCTTTACATTTCTGAGTCTTTTTATGAAGGTGACCAAAGTGAGCTAATATAAGGACAGATTCAGGGACTCATCAGCATCTCGAAATGCATGCAACTATTTTTTAGAATACATAAAAATTTGAAATGGTGATCTTTTGTATCTACCTGTAGTTCAGATTTACATTGAATAAACTGCAAATAATTTCCTGTTTGCAACCATGCTCCAATGCCGTCACTCACATCCTCCATATTAAACGTATTAAAATAGATATTTCTTTACTGGCAGTCCTAAGTGAGATCACTTCCCTATCTTCAGTGATCAAGCTCCTGCGAAGACCACAGTTTCTTCCTTTAGCTGAAAAAGTTCACACCAATGTGCAATCATTCTTGTTCTGTCTCCAATGTTTTTGGGAATAAGAGAAAAATAGCTGCTAGGTGATAAATCTCTAAAAAATCATTTAGTCCATTGGTACTTAAAAGATGTTTGCCATTAGTGAAAAGACATGGTTGATTTACTAAAACTGGAGAGTGCAAAATCTGGTACAGCTGTGCATGGTAGCCAATCAACTTCTAACTTCAGCTTGTTCAATTAAGCTTTGACAATAAAACCTGGACGCTGATTGGCTTCTATGCAAAGCTACACCAGATTTTACAATCTTCAGTTTTAGGGAATTAACCCCAATATGTATCAGACCAACATCTATTATAGGATTTTAAAGCGTATTTCCACTTTTGCAGCCATATTAGAATAATGCCTACTTGATATTTGTTTCATGTCCTCATCCACATAGCGTAACTTAATTAGGAGAGACCTGGGACATGCTCACTCTAACATTGTTCAAAAACCCTTGTAGTCAACCATGACACCTACTCCTGAGAAACATCTAAAGCGGTGTTTCTCAACCTTTTTTCAATCAAGGCACCTTTTAAAATTATGGACAGTCCCCAGGCACCCTTTAAAATTATGGACAGTCTTGAGGCACCCCATTCTAAAATGGGGTGCCTCAAGACTGTCCATGATTTTAAAAGGGTACTCCATCTTAAAATGTGAGAAACTATTTGTTATGATCCGCCAGGTGGTGCCTCAGGCTGCCAACTGACAGACCTACCCAGAGCGTGGGGTCTAAGCCCGGGCTGTGCTTTCACCAGGGCCCCTGATGGTTGGGATGGACTTGAAACAGTCCAGGGCCAGGTCACGACCTCTGAGCAGGCACACCAGTGGCTGAGGAGGCCTCCGGGGACGTATGCAGGTACCGGGAGAGCCAGATGTGAAGCGGATGGCTGCCCCAGCAGGGTGGTAACGAATCGTGGTCCCGTGGGGGTAAGCGGGGTACAGAATCGGCGGGCAAAGAGTAGTCGGGTCACACGCAGGATCAGCAGGGTAAGTCAGTCCGTAGAAAAACTTTGGAAAACACTTGCATGGGTACCTATCTGGATGACTATATTGACCAACTGCCGCATACTGGCTGACTCTTTCGTTTGCTTTGGTTGTTGGTTTTGTTATTCGTGCAT